GGGGGGGTGGGGTGGGGAGGAGGGAGAGAAATGGGGAGTGAAGTTGAGCCCGGGACGAAGCAGGGGGTGGGGGCGAGGTTTAGGATTTGGTTTTATTTCTCATAGCTCTACTCTGCTTTGATTGACAATGAACTAAATTAATTTCCCTGAGTTAAGTCTGTTTTGCCCATGACAGTAACTGGTGAGTGATCTCTCCCTGTCCTGATCTCAACCCACAAGCCTTTCGTTATATTTTCTCTCCCCTGCCCAGCTGAGGAGGGCAGTGACAGAGCAGCTTTGGGGAGCACCTGGCCTCCAGCCAGGATCAAACCCCCACACAACTAGGTGACAGTTATGCTGGAAAACCTGACTCAAGTGCAACACTGGAGTTCAAACTGAAACAACCTTTTACTTAATGTATAAAATACTTTTTAAAGATCTATTTCAAAGAATTTTAGACAGAAAAGCAAGGACATTTTGTCCCAATACTGATTTTCTGTGTATCATCCTTCCTTCCTTTTGAAGCCTTTTTGAATGTGCTGGTCACCGGAAGACAGCTTGCTATGACAGCACAGCAACAGTATGCTTGATAGTTAAAACCACAGACTCAGGTTTAAGAGTCCAATAAAGAAAGGAACCAATCTGTGTATCAGAAATTACCCTCAACTATACACATCTATTTCTATTTCAGTCCATGCACAGAGTTTTGAATGTAAAAGACCTTTGGTGTTCTGATACACTGCTTTTAGTGGTGAAATGCATTTAGTTTTACCTCATGCTTGTTTAACATGGTAATTGGTTATACAATACTATAAATACCACAGCAATCACACAGCCTGCTCAAAGCAACATCTATTTGCAAAAACAGCAAGCAAAGTAAACAGACCAGATTCTTGCTGTCTTGTTTGTGAATTGTGACAATTCTTCTCTCACTGGAGCCTTCTTGGCTTGCTTGTTTAATGCTGACATCAATGATATCAGGAAAATCACAGTATGTTTGTAAATCCTGTAATAAATATTAATTATGTCAATAACATAAATAGCAACTAAAAAACCCCACCTATTTTCAACATTAGAATTCCTACAACTCTGAACTTGTAAGCTAGCTACAAAGAGGATCATAAAACCTTAAATATGCCATTAAAAATAAAGGAGTTTTGTGTTTATGTGACCATCACTAGGAGCATGAATTTAAAAATGCACAAAGATCCAGGAACAATGAATAGAAATACTCATATATGGGTTTTTTCTATTGTAGATATTTCTTTGGTCTGTAGTATTTTGTGAGGATTAGCAACGGAAGATTTTGATTAACCTTTTGTGATGACTTTTTTTTTCCTGAGAACTTGTTATTAGCATCCCGATTAAAGAGGTTTAGAAAGTCTGTTAACAATCCAAAACATCATGGTGTCATTCAGAGTGGTACAAGCTGCAAAATCTGCTATCAAAGAGATGAATGCAGTATGAATGAAGAAAGGGTCTAAGAGAAGGTTCTTCCATCAGTCATGGTCATCACTGGCTAGGTAACCTGAAGCACCAATCCTACTTACACGGGAAATCCAAGACGTATTTTCCTTTGATAGGACAACTTGTTATCAAAGGAAAGCAAACAGATTTTATTCAAGTCAGAATACCCCATTTATACAGCTGCAAGTACATCCTAATACATAAACAAGTGTAATAATCAAGGCTGTAAGACTCAGTGGGTATCAGCTAGAATAAATCAGCTCAAATGCACTGAACTCCCTGTAGCTCTATTTGTTCATCTGGTTGTTGGAAATGTGAACTGGCAAACCAAATTTCTTCACAATCTAGTCTGTTACATGATAAACTCCACAATTATTAAAATAATAAAAGAAATTACCTGCTCTGCCAGTGTCTCACAGTCTTTAAGTTTTCCTCTTGAGCACTGAATTCCACCATTTCCAGTTATTACAACGGTTGCAAAACTCTCCTGTCCAGAAGGATCTCCACCAGGCTCTTTTACTTCAAAAACCTCTGAATAGAAGGCAGACTGAAGGGTTTCCAGATTTATAAGATACTTAAGTTTCAAGTTTCTGGCAGTAGCTTTGCATTGGCCAAACTGTTGTATAAATTTGCGGAACCTGTACCTTATTCTTTTTCTCGTCAAAATGTGGTAGTCTTGGATTTTTGCTCGCACACATTTAGGCAAAAACATTTTGTAGCTGTGAACACAAAACCAGCAAAAAGCTACTAATTCTATCCATTAAATCCAGCAAAGATAATTAGTTCTGTGCTAAACAAGTCAACATGAAAATATCTTTTCTTTCAAATGTAACCTTATTCTTTAAATTGTAGGATGACAAGGATCCTTTCTTCAATCTGTTGTATGTTCTTCCAAATACAGCCACATCTCTTCTCCCTTTTTCCATCTTCTCCCCTCACTCAGTTTCAACATATATTACATAATGCATTTTCCATAAATCCTGACATGTCTGTTCTAGTTATTACTGAAGTTTTGAGGTAAGGCAGCAGAAGTTACACAGTTGCTTTGTTTGGTGTAGAAGTTGAAAAGAGGATACTGCACAGATAAGGGCAACTACATGGATAAAGGACAGATTTCCTGGCTGAAAATATAGGTGGTAGAATACAACAGTGTGGATGGTTCTCACTGAAGTTCCTGTACCACAGCCCATATTCTATCAAAGGCTGAAAGAGTAGTTTGCCTCCTGTAATCAGCTGGCCAATTTGTCATCTCATTCTGTTTTTCATTCCT